TGATAGCTTCCATAGTATCAGTATTTCGGATCAGTGTCGCATATACGACTACCCTACCATGGAACAGGCGGCTGCAGTCATAAAAGCGAACGATGCACAGGTTGTGTTCCTCGTGCCACAGACCGAAGCTGCTGCTGTAGAGAAATGGAAGCTCTTCAATGAGCAGTACTTGGGTCAGCCTACGTCCTTCCTGCAATTCATTTCAAGCGACTCTAGCAATATCGTGGAAGTTATTCTGCAAGCGGTATCAGAGGTGTCGAACTATATTTGCTTCGGCACTACTACGCCTGCTCCTGTTACCACTGCTGGTTCTACTGAGACGACCCCGGCTCCTACTACCACGACCCCGGCTCCTACTACCACGACCCCGGCTCCTACTACCACGACCCCGGCTCCTACTACCACGACCCCGGCGCCTACTACCACGACCCCGGCGCCTACTACAACGACCCCGGCTCCTACTACAACGACCCCGGCTCCTGCTACAACGACCCCGGCTCCTGCTACCACGACCCCGGCTCCTACTACAACTCCTCCGTCAGAATGCGAGTGTGACGGGCAGAATGAATGTGCCTGTGTGCCGGCCCTTGTTGTGAAGGTAAACAACAGGCCGAAGAAGCTCAGCATCGATTATGAAAAATAGATAGTTAGTCTTTTTTTTTAATTTTAGAAAAGTATGGAGAAAGCTGAATTGTGCTTTTGACTGTTTTCGGTTCACGGTCTGTTTCAGCTGGTTCTCGTACGCGCGCGGTTCATTGACGGTGAGGGCTGGACGGGGCGCCAGGTTGTACACACCACAAAAAAATAATATATAACTCTACCGAAGGCGACCCGGTCGCATGCCCCGACGGCTCTGGCGGGAAGGCAGCGGGTGGGTGTGGTGATGTGGTGAGAATGGTTGGCCCGGAAGGATGTGTTGTCGGCTGTCAAGAAACATTTGTGGAAAACGAAATCGGCCAATTTGGGTTGGGTTCGCGTGACTCCCAAGTGAGGGGGTCGTAGTCTCTGTGGGCTGGGTCTGAGGCTGGGTTCGTAGAATGGTGGCCGTGGCAGGCCCACCTGCGAGAGTAGGTAGTCTGCTCCCCAAGGAAGTATTCTGCTCACCAGTGGTAGTTCGCTTAGCCACGGTAGTCATTGTGTGGGCTGTGTCTTCGAGACGTGGCTGTCGTCAGCCGGCCAGCGGGCGTTGTCATCGGCTGAGCAGCGGGCGTGATAGTCCACTCACTGCACACTAGCGACGGAGGTAGTCTGCACACTAGCGGCGGAGGTAGTCTGCACACTGGCGGGCGTGGTCGTCTACTGACGACAGGCAGAGTGACGATTCGGTCCGTTGGCATGTCGTCTGACGCAGCTGCAGAATTCCGCCTCCGGGAGATCCGCCCTTCATTGACAGGCAGTTGTCGTTTTAATTCGAGCAGGCAAATCTCACTGGCCGTAACTGGGACTCGGAACTGTCGCTCTTCTCAACGTGGCAAAAATGACATCCTCCTTTTTTGGAGTACTTCCTCTGAGAAATGCTCTGCTGAATTTAGAGGCATGCCAGAGCAGATGTTTCGTTGTAGGATTTAAGGACGTGTGGTGTGTGCTCATGTTGTCTGAGACAAAACCAGTCTCAGACCGGTGTCGAACAGGCAGGTACTCAACGGGCAAACAAATCCTCGTTACACACGATATGCCTGATGCTTGCGATATGCTGGTAGATTTGCCTGATGCCTGCGACCTATGCAACATGACAACAGAGCTCGTACCCTCGGTGCGTTCTTTGTAAGATTTCTTTTTTCGGAAACGGTGATGATGGGCAGGCGAGGATTGTTGCTGCTTGGACTCTGTGGTGGGTCGATCCTGCGAACTCGTCCGCTCATCGGCCACCTATTCGAAACTCGCCCTTTCTGCGAAGTGATTAACTTACATCCAAGTGATCCGTTCTCAGTATTTCACGAACAGCTTACGACTGTGCGAGGTGTGAACTCGGAGGGTCCATGGGAAGCCTTGACTCACCTGGATAATGAGCACCACATATGGTACATGGGCCGTGCTCGCTACCAGGACGATTACCGGCTGCTATGGGCCGCCGAAGCGAACACAGAGGATGGTAGACCTGTAATTGTCGCAAATACATTCCGAAAAACAGACGACAGCGCAGACCGGCCTGCCATGATGGCCCCTACAACCGCGATGCCTCAAAAACATGGTCCATACCTGTTGTTTATCGAAGAGTAAACGAACACTCCAACTGACCACATCCTGACGTTTCATAGATGCGTGTGTCGTTCACAGATGCGTGTGTCGTTCACAGATGCGTGTGTTGTTCACAGATGCGTGTGTCGTTCACAGATGCGTGTGTCGTTCACAGATGCGTGTGTTGTTCACAGATGCGTGTGTTGGTGGATGGACACATACCTGAATAAATTGAACAGTACCTTTTCTTCTGCAGTGACATTTTACGGATGAATGGTGGCTGGCCCTTGTCCCGATTAATTGGTGAAAGTATTATGGCTGTTACAGGGTATGACTTTCAGACATTAATGACAGACATCGACGAAAAGAGAGATAAAGACGATACAAGTGTTCCTGCAAAGTTTTGTCGTAAGGCTGCACTGAAGAGCAATGAGGAGTATGAAGAGGACGTACGACCGTTTTTGGATTTGTTCATGGAAGGAATATCTGCAACCGTGACGAATGTTGTGAAGATGTACAATGAGGGTTGGCGACATTGCACTTTGACGTGGGATAGCGTGATTGTAATGAACCCGCAGGAGTTTGTAGTAATTCCGGATGATCTACAAGCAGGCGAGCCAGACGAGGCGCAACGGGAAGATGGTGTTCCGGTCGGGGAAGATCCGTTGCCTGATTCGATGGGTCGTGGACGACGGCTGTCTGAAGAAGAAGATGGGGCGAAGTCCGCCGTGAGGGTGGGTCGATTGAAGCCTTTTGCGGAGCATATGGATATAAAGTTACGGTTTACTCATCACGCTGTTCGATCGAGAGACGCATGTCGGAACGTGTTGGAAAAAAATATCAGAGAAATAAAAGAGGAGGCACAGATGCATCGGATATCATTTGAACGTTCATCAATACCGGACAAGACATTACGCTACCACCACATTGACAGTCGGAGCGTTATTCAGGAAGCGGATTTATTCGCGGAGTTATTTTTGCTACACACAGTATCATTCAACCTTGAGCCACACAAGATCCCGACTATCCGTAAAATGAAGTTGTTCCGGGCATTCAACAAATACACGTTAGGTACCTACTCAGGTCGGGAGATCAATATGAGGGAATTGATTGACTGGTACCAAATCTCACAAGGGATATTAAGGGACCCTAGCGCCATAAGTTTTCCAGAAGATATACTTAAGAATGATCCTTGGAGACGGAACGGGTATGAGTCTACCGATTTGATAGAGAAGGTAACGGGTTTTACGCCAAGATTAGATTGGGATCAAAGCATGATCCGTCATGAATTTACAGTGCCATCCGAATTTAGTGCTTCGTATTATTGGAGGGTACTGCAATCATACCGCGAGCTGTTAGACCCGGTGCTACAGGTTGATTATAGTGACTACTCCTACGTGTATGGAGGACACAATTTGATTGTGTTCGGAAACATTACTAACCACAGTGGCGTTGAAGGTGATGATGAAAAGGACCGGCACCCGAGCGCATTTGTGGACTACTGCACCAACGAAAAAGTGCCCGCGGGCACTCGGCTGGTAATGAAGGTGCCTATTGCCAATCCGAGGTATGCCAAAACGTGCTACAACTCGATGGTGCGCGCTGACATTGCCAAACACAGGAAGTGCTTCCCAGGACTTGAGGACTTAATTGTGCATCACTACAAGCCACCAAAAAGCCTCCGTAACTATCCCCTAAGCTTTGAAGAAGCACTCGAAGGCTTCAACGCTCGCGAACTGTTCGATGTTGTCACCCAGGAACTCCTTAAAGACAAACATAAATCTTTAACTGGGTTCAGGAAACTCCTGATCGACGTCCTTCAATCGGCCAAAACATTCTGGGATAGGGGCTACCTGCACCAAGACATGACCCTGGTCAATCTGATGCTCTATCCAGAACAAGCTGCACGAGATTGCTACATCGATGAATTAAATTGCGAGGCGGTAAACTTGCGATGGATTGACTATGCATACCTCGTCAAACTCTCATCCGCCCGACAGCAGAAGCCAATACAAGACACTACGACCATCAGCGTCGATCTCATGACTGTCGTGGATCGACTCAACAGTGTGCACAACTTCAACATCGCAAAAGACGAAGTCAAGTTTATTCACAAGTACGAGCACACACAACACACTTCCCTACGTGCATAGCCCCTATGTACGTACTCCCCAAGTACAAACTCTTCACGTAATCACTGCACTTCAGGGCGCTGAAGAATATGAAGGGTTCAAATATCAGCGTGATTGGAAAGGTAGATACCTTAGTGGCCAAGCTGGAAAAGAAGCAGTGAGCAAAGAGAACAATGAGATAGAAAAGTGCTGTCGTTGCGAGGGGGTAGGGGAGGGGAGGGTCGCTTCTGTTGACAAAGAGTTACTGATTTTTTGTCACGTGCGCGTGCAGTTCAAGGGCTGCCATAACAATCGCGTCGCCAAGTTGGTCGGCCGCCTGGTGTGCTGAATAGGCGTCGCACGCCTCCGCAAGTTCGCGCTCGGTGGCGACGTCAGCGTCGCCTCTTGTGGAGAGCGTAAAGATTTTCTTGACCAGGGGCTGTGCGGCATGACGGTCGTCGTAAACAACATCGAAGAGGACAGACGGCCATGTCATCCCAATCAGGTCAACTCGCCATCGACCCGGAATGTGTCTGTGTATGGCTGGAGCATCGGCCATGTTGCCCTGTTGTTGTTGGGCTTTGAGTGACTCAAGTAGGTCGTTCTGGAGCAGGTCCAATTTTTCGGTGGGCGTGCTTTGCTGGAACCAGGACGTGAGTACGTGGCAGTACATGTTCTGGTCGTCGAAGCCGATGGCGACGGTGAGTATGGCGCGAAGCTGCTCTGTGTTGAGGCCGCCAGCGTCCCTCACATCCAAGTAGGGAAGCGGTCCACTGTACCAAGACACTCGCGCGCTTTCCAGAGTTCCCGTAATTTCCGGATTTGCCTGAATCTCGCCGACCATGGTGGCTGCACTGCCTTCGTTGATGACGCACACGGCGAGGGCAGCCGGTGCGCGGTAAGAGACCGTAAAGGTGTCCAGGCTCGAGATGGGCAAAGTCAGCTTCGCCAGCGCCAAGAGTCGCATCCGCGTTGTGGTCTCGGTCTCCGGCAGCAGGACGATTTCAAGACTGGAATGGTCCGCAGCCAAGAGTGCCACTGCTCCTTCAGAGGCATAGGATACTCGGGTGCAGTAATGCCGAAACATCGGGCGCACCCAGCGACCCAGCAGCAGCGCTCGGGCTACATCTATGACCCACAGCGTCTGTTCCTCCCCCCTTCGGTCTCCCCCGCAATCCCTGTCCGCGCATGCCCCGTCTGCGGAGGAGGTGGTGACGATGGCTATACAATACCGCTGTAACTCGTCGGTCCAAATGCTGGAAACGGCTGTCAGCTTCGCCCCAGGCTCGTTCTTCAGCAAGGGTATAGAACGGGAGGAACTCTGCCGCTTGTTGCGGATAACTAGCATCTCGGCAGACACGTCCACATCCAGCACCTCGGAGGGCTGCAAGTTCTGCAATCGCCGGCTCACGAGCTGCAACAAACACCCAGTGGTCCCTTCCGGCGCCCGCTGCTGTGCAGAACACCGTCGACTACGGTCTACATTCACCGTGAAGCTCTTTCGCTTAACCACATGTTCATCCTGCACAATGCTACGCCGACCGGGACCCGGACCAAAGTCCTGCACAGGGCTGCGTGGACTCTCATACGGCAGTGACCCCTGCAAAGACGGCTCTCCTCCAAGGGACTGACGACGCACCTCCTCCCGCCTCGCCTCTCGGACCGGCTTCTTCGTCTCCGATGCCACAACTTCTCTACCCGGCGAAATAACCAACACACCGCCGTTGGCCGCCGTGCGGCCCATGACAACCTTCTCTTTGTCTCCGGCTTCAACGACCTTCGCCCGAGGAACGCCATACCTACAACAAATGTTCGTGGCTGCTTGTGTTCCGCGCGGCAGCTGCCTTGTGTTGCAAGCACAAGCCGAGCGAGATTCCGGCTTTCGAGATTCCGGCTTTCGAGATTCAGGCTGCAAATCATCATCCCCAGCTATAACGCTGTATTTAATTCGGTCGTGCTACGCTAAGTTCCGCCAAGCTTCGGCTAGCTCGACTTCTGGAGTCCAGGCTATGCTGTCGTTCAGTCTACGCTGTCGTTCATGCTATTTTACCGTTTGGGTTCTTACGTTATTCCGTCGAATGTGCTACTTGCAAACCAGTCGCCTATTTGCGCAAGGGCAACTTTCGGGTTCGGGTCGTATTTGAATGAGTTCTTGAGCAAACCCAGAGCTTCCGAGGATTGCCTTCTTAAGTTCAGGACGGCTGGTGGCAAGACATCCATTAAAAATTCATGTAACCCTTTGCCCAGGGTTTGTCCCGAGAGGTTTACCCCGAGAGGATTTGCCGCTGATTTGTTGCGAGCCAACACACGCGTGTGCTGGAATTTTCGTGGGCGGTTAATTTATTAGCTAAGTCGGGTAAACGCTTTTCACTTGGTACAGCTCGCTAGAAAACGTACATGACAAACTTTGTTCACAAACCGTCTCTTTCCCTGCCTTTATCATTGCCACCGCCCGCCCAGGTTGCGGAAGAAGAGGAAGGTGCCGTGGTCGAGGAAGGCGCGTTGGCCGAGGAAGAGGGGGCCTTGCCGGAAGACGGGGCTTTGCCACAGGAGTTCGACCTTCCCGAGCCGCCCACGACGGCAGCAGGAGGAGTTCCATCAGGAGTTCCCTCATTAGGAATTCATCCTTCAGGAGTGCCTCAGTTGGGAATGTCTCCGTCGGGAGTGCATTCTTCGGCGGCTGGAATGCATTCTTCGTCGGGAATGTATTCATCGGCGGCTGGAATGCATTCCTCGGCGGCTGGAATGCATTCATCGACGACGGGAATGTATTCTTCGACGGCGGGAATGCATTCTTCGTCGGGATGCATCCCCGGAATGCTTCCCACAGGAATCCACCCGCCAGGGCTGTTTCCTACGGGACTCCACCCGCCTGGGATGCTTCCAGCGGGCATGATTCCCCCGCCGCGGCTGCACGCTCCAAGTTTCACGCGGCCGGCTGAGCTGTCCGGTCCCCGGGACACCCTGGCTTTAACTAAGGAGCTCTTCAGCCAGGTCGCAGTGCCACCCGACGATGAGTATTACAGGGGCGGGCTCAGGAACGCGTTTGAGACCTTAAGTGAGTACTCACGCTCCTTCGGGGTCACAGGCCCAGACTTCCTGCGGCATATGTTCGCCGAAATGATCTTAGGCCGAGAGAAGACCATCCAACTGAAGCAAATAAGCTTCCGTGACCATAGGCGACCCGGCCATCAATCAGCCAAACGACGTCGACCCACCATCCCACCCGATAACGACATGCCCTCCACAGTCGTACCGCTCCCTGCCACGGTCCCTACCACAGTCATCACATGGCCTGGTACCGCCGACCTTAGCGACATAACCAGTGACGAGGATCTTTAAAAAATCTCACATGTCTGTCAGACTCGAAGCACTTAAAGGTAAATTCTTTTGAGCCCCCCACACCAAATGCCAAACCCGATCCGACCATCTCCATCACTTGTCGTGTCATCTCCATCGTCTCCTGTTCACATTCGTGCGCGCTGCACACACACAAATCGTTCGTGTAATTAATGTCATTGTAGAAGAAAATGAGCATCTGAGGATCGCTGTGGTGGAGTTACAGAATAACTTGGCAGACTTGGAGGGCTACTACAACAACTTGTCTGCAAAATACACAGCCCTGCATCTGCGCGAGGAACAGTACCGCGTGGCACTCCGGCGGCGCTGCGAGCTTCTGATTGAGGCCCGTCGGAAGTTTCGAGACCTCGCCTCTGGGCGGGTCTCCTACAGGAAGGCCTTGCGCATCTCCCGGGCAACCACTCCCGAGTCGAATTCTCCCACCCGATCCGCCAGTCGGCAGTCACTCCTTTGTTCAGAGGCAAACCAAGTCACAGACCCGACGACCGAGCGCCCGGCTGCCAACCACTTATCCCCCCGCCATACCCTCGCCCGGGATGTTCCCGCACACATTGTTGTAACATGTGGTTTATTTGAAAGCAACATGGACGACCCCGTCGCCGAAAAGGACGTTTCCCTGCAGGCAGAGGTAACCCGGCAGGAAGAGGTAACCCGGCAGGAAGAGGTAACCCGGCAGGCAGAGGTAACCCGGCAGGCAGAGGTAACCCGGCAGGAAGAGGTAACCCGGCAGGAGGAGGTGTGCACTGGGGCGTTAATCATCAACAGTACTCTAGTGGAGTCGCGAGGGTCGTCCCGAGAGTCGGAGCCAGCCGTTTCGGAGTGTTCATTGCCGTCGGTGCCGAGTTCAAGCGGTGCCTGGGCAGTTATCGCGCGACCTCCAAGTTCCGTAGTTCAAGTCAAGAGGTTGAAAGTTGGCGCCGGTTTCAAGAGCTGCTGGAGCCCGGACTGCCGGTCTCTGCTGAGGACAGCAGATTATCGGACACGCGCCGGCTCCCTGCTGTCCAGCGGCTGCTCGTCTCTGTCTCACGGGTGTTTTCCTGTCCCACGGAAATACTCCCACCAGTTGTCCTCCTGGGCATCCGACTCAAAGCCTCTTGCCTCCCGAGAGGTAGGCTCTGACATGGAGTTGGAATGGCTTCCGAGGGGTTCTTCCTCCCGAGACACGCTCCACTGGTCTTCTCGAGGAGCTGGCCACTGGTCACCTGCCAGAGAGTCGGACGACAGAGAGTCGGACGACAGAAGGTCGGACGATAGAAGGTCGGACGACAGAAGGTCGGACGATAGAAGGTCGGACGATAGAAGGTCGGACGATAGAAGGTCGGACGACAGAAGGTCGGACGATAGAAGGTCGGACGATAGAGGGTATGACGACAGAGGACCTGACAACAAAGGACCTGACGTGGGAGGCACCGATCACAGAGAATCCAACGGCGGAGGATCGCGTCTCTCAGACTACTCGACCGGCTTACTGGCGGTAGAACACTTGAGCTTAAGGGAACATATGTCGAAGGAGGAACGACGAGGGGAGTTTGTTGGGAAAAGAGGGAGGGCAAGAACTACGTCCTCGATTCTCTTCTCACCTATTTACGAACCGGCGCCGGGATCTTGCCGAAGACGAGACTACCGGGCGCCTGACTACCGTCGTAGAAACTTGTCTGAAATTGCAAGCACCCATTACGGATCATATAGACCTTCGCCCCGAGATCCTTCTTGTCCGCGAGGGCCGCACTTATCCTCGGGAAGCACGCCTACAATAGGTGGTGCTCAGTCTTCGGACGAAGATCTCTTGATTGTGAAAACGCGAGCGCAAACGGATGCTGATCTGCCACACAAGGTCACTTGGCCTATCGTAGCGGCACTCGACGGGTGCGGCGTACCCCCTGAGCTACCGTCCGTGGATGGTGAAGGAGACGATTTAATCGCTCAGGACGATAAGGACTCAGTCCTCCAGGGCAGGCAGGACTCAGTCCCCCAATACCAGGAGGATCTAGTGACCCAGGGAGGTGACGAGGGCGATGGTGGAGTCCCGGGAGGCGAGGAGGATTTGGGCCATTTGAATAGCGATCCTGAAACGGACAACAGCATCAAGACCAACAACGCGCCGACGATCTTAATCGGTCTGGTTACCACGGGGGAAGTTACGGGTTGCGAGAGGTGTGCGGATCCTACCAATACTTTTTTGTCTCCTGATTCTATTGCGAACAGTAGTGGCGGTTCTACAACTCGGTGTGGAATTTCAGATGAGGGAGTACTCCTGGCGAGGGATGGGGTTTGCGACCATCTGGTTGACGGGGCTATCTACGAGTGCTTGATGCATGCCAATGCTCAGTCTGCTAACAAAGCTCCTGTCTTGGGCGGTGAGAGCAACGGTGAGACCACCTGTAGCGTAGGAGCGGAACCGAGTGGCCACGGGTCGAATGGGCAGGAGCTTCTCGCAAATAGCACTGCCCCTAATGGGACTGCCCCTAATGGGATTGCCCCTAATGGGATTGCCCCTAATGGGATTGCCCCTAATGGGATTGCCCCTCATGGGATTGCCCCTAATGGGACTGCCTCTAATGGGATTACCCCCAGTGAGATTGCGCCTCAGGAGTATACCCGCATGAAGTCTTTCCACAAGGAGCCTATCTCTGACGAGTATGCCCTTAAGGTGTCTACACCTCCTGCCAAGGAGTCTTCCTACATGGGGTCTGCCCGAACAGATTCCACCCACAAAGGCTCTACCGATATACTACAGCCAATCCACGTAGAGTCATGCGACAATATCCTCGATTCACGAATTGGGGATGGGCGAAGTAACATGGAGGGAAGTCACGACGAGGACGAACAATCTTTGAAGGCGAAAAAAACATTGGTTCGATCTGTAGCTTCAAATGTGTTTGGGACGGAGCCGACCCGCGGCGTCTTCAAGACTGTGGTCGACGGAGCGGTAATGGGTAGGATATCGCACGATGACGGGGACAACGATGATTCTGACGCGTCTCCTTCAAGCCCGACGTTTCGTAAAAACGTCGGTGGCTTCTTATCCCCGTCTGCTCAGTCAACCGCGCGAGCGTCTCATGCACCGTATGGATGCCGTGGCTACATTTCAAGCAAGCCGATGCAGCACGAAACATGGGTTCACCCAGGTTGGGCTGATGAGGGGTTGTCGTCTGCTAAAGGATTGCAGGACGCAGGCTTGGGGTCCCCGGGGGCCCTGGAAACTCATGTGGGTGCCCTCTATTATTTGAAGAATGGTTCGCACAGTCCTTTGCAGAATTGCGCGCAGAATTGTGAACCGAGTTGTGCGCACAGCTATTTGGGGCCGGTGCACGGGCACGGTGAAGGAGCACGGATAGAGGGGTGTCCGCCGGAATTTCCACAGCAGGAAGTTTCAGTGGTAAATCGTAGGCCGAAGAAGCGTCCGCTTGTCGGCACTGCGGCGTCTGAGAAGGAGTTCCCGTCCTACGGGGGGACTTGGTCCAATGCGCCGCAAATGGAGGCGTGCTCTCCTGGGCCGTCTACGGCTCGATCAACGACCTGGTCAACGACAACCTCCCCCAGGGAATACGAGCGGCCATTAACATCAGCCGCACTCCCACAAGGAACCTATTTGTCACCCCCAACTGCCTATGCTGCGCAGAGTCACAGAGCTCTGCCTCTTTTCTCGTTCTCTCAGACAACCAGCGAACTCGTCCCTGGCGGTGAGGCGCAACGGAAGTCCACAGCGCAGAGCGTGCATCTAGTTCGTTCAAGGAGCAAGATGTGCCCCCCCGATGGCACGCACTCACGGCTGCAAACTGAACCGATAGGAAGACTGTCCAGCAGCCCCGACCCAGACGCCCGATTCCTTCGAGATGCTTCGTTTGTTCGTGATGCTTCGTTTGTTCGGAATGCTTCTACCGACCAAGCAGCATCCATTCGAAGGGTGGACCTTGGTAGCCCGTTTGCCAGTCCTCAGATACGCTGGGAGGCAGATACGCTTGCTCCTCTTCGACCCCTGGCCTCTCCGCATTTCGACTTGCGATTCGCTCCAGCATGCTCTATGGTGAACACCACCCCGTGCGGTCAAAAACGAGAGTCCTTCAGACCGGAGTCGCTTCGGCCGGAGCCCCACAGACCTGAACCCTTCAGGCCGGAACCCGGAAGGCCGGAGCAATTTCTCCACGCAAAGCCTGTCAGAGCGTCTCCGCTCTTTCCGGCGAGATGGGAAGTCGACTGTCAAGATCTTATGCGCTCGCCCCTTTCTCCGCCTTCGAACCGGTATGCTCTTTTGCAACCCCGTTCGCCGATTGCTCGTGTGCAACCAACCACACAACAATGTCCTAATCCCATAGGTAGGTTATACCCTCACCTCACCGCTTCCCGGGTAAGACACTCCCCAAACGGTTATCCCGCCAACCCTTGCCAGTCAAGCCTGCCAATCAAGCCTTGCCAATCAAACCTTGCCAATCAAGCCTTAAACGGCCATAAGAGTAAGTGCTGACTTACTGTGGTTTTAGGATCTCAGAGGATGATGCGGCGCCCCGGAGCGGTGTCGCGAGGAGGCATGGTTTCTGGCGTGATGGAGTACGCTCTTTCTTTCACAGGCTCACGGCCGGCAACTCAACGTCCTCAAGCATATATGACTCAAGAATATTCGATGCGGGAGTGTTCCACCATTTACATGTCATCGGAGCATCTGTCGGCTGCTAGGATAGTTGACTGGGCAGGCGAGCGCCTGCTAGACCGGTTCAGTGTCGCGAACCGGCTCCGGAATACTGCCATTGAAACCCACTACCCACGGAAGCCGAGTAGATGGCTCGCAACGATGCATCTGGGAGAGTCTGTGCATCTGGGAGAGTCTGTGCATCTGGGAGAGTCTGTGCATTAGCCTGCCAAGCGCCAATCGATGAACCGTTTACCTACCACCCGTTAAACATCATCCAACCAAGCAACCATGAGCTGGTCGTTAACCAGTCACCATTAGCCCATCATTCGTTGTGTGGTCGGTAACTTACGGCTGTTAACGGTATGCCTGTTAGCCGCTCATCCAACCATTAGCCACTCACATTAAGTTGATCCGCGTGCCGTTCACAGTGTTGAGGGTGCAGGTGCAGTGAAAGAATATGATCCCATCGCAGTCGGTGCGAGGGTCGCGCCGGTTTACTGGATACCCGGCAGCCAACATGTTGCAGTGGGCGGTGCTGGTAGCCACGATAGTTTTTATCCTGGGGTCTTTGACACATTGCGCCAGTTTGTTTGGTCGAGGTGCATTCGGCACACTTGTGTGGACCGAGGGCACGGCGGGTACCGAGGCCGTCGCCGCCGCCAGCCTGCAGCAGATGGCCAGCGCGGCTGCTCCGGTAGCGCAGTCCCCGTCGGCGACCCCAGCAGCCGCGTCGCCGCCGCAGGCGCCGAGTGCGGCGACAGCCTCTCAAGGTGCAGCCCCGTCTCCCCAGGCGGCGGCTGCCGCTCTGCAGGCAGCAGCCGTGGCTCCCCAGACGGGAGCTGCGGCTCCGCAGGCGGGAGTTGCGAGTCCCCAAACGGGAGCTGCGGCTCCGCAGACTCAGACAGCCGCTGCTGCAGCAGCAGCTCCAGCTGCGCAGGCTGCCGCACCTTCACAGGCTACCACCAATCAATCAGCTCCGAAGGCAGCACAGGCTGCGTCTCCAAGCGAGACTGCCGCCACTGAAGCTGCCACGACCAGTGCGGATTCCGAGCTGACAGGAGGCCCCGAGGATATGAAACCATTGCCAGACAAGGCGTACGCAATGCTGGAGTTCAACATGATATCCAGTCGCCTCCTATTCGACTGCACGAAGCCTCAAGAGTCCGTTAACGTAGAGCACTGCAAAACGGTCAAGAAGCTATTCGAGAACCATCCCGTGTACCTTGAGTAAGACATGATAACCTCAATATTCTCATTCTCTCTCAGACTCACAAAGAAGACCGACTGGCCGACGGACACCAAACTACCCCATATGGGCTGGGTGCAGATAGCATTCTTCCTAGCCCACTTGTTACTAATAACGTCAATTGCATTCCTTGTAAGCCCCCTAGCCCCTACCTGCCTGAGCCTTGGTTTTAACTTCCTGACCGACACGTTTCCCACACACTTTAGGCTTCCCCATTCCTCGCGTTGTCTAGCAACACTAAGCGACTCATTGGTTCCACTTTGTTTGACAGCGCCGCAACAGTCGCTGGCTTATCTGTTGGGTATCAGCGGTGGCTTTCCAACCGGCTACCGAATATAGTGGAAAAGGTGCTGAGCGACAAGGCGCCAACCAAAAATGTGGTAGTCACTAAAACACCGAGTCCCACGGTATGGATAATGGCGGTGGCTTGTGCCCTTTGGACCTTGGGCGCCATACTAGTCGCCGCCGAGTGGATCATCAGCCGTGAAACCACTCCCCGTGTTGCTGGTCCAACCAATGAAGAATTCAATGATATTGAAGCGGATGAAGAAATCTCGCTCCTCCTGCCGCCACCAACTTCGTCCTAGTCCAGCCAACCGCGTCGGGCGTCCACTCAACCAACACTCTCGTTCAACCAGTTTTTTTCCATTCATCTTGAACTTTTGTTTAATCGATGCTACGTGCGCGCAAGTAGCGTGCGCGCAAGTAGCGTACGCGCAAGCCGACCTCACATAGTCCTGATAACATACCTCAACGTACTTCAGATGGCAACCAACCTCAGATGACAGATGGCAACCAACCTCAGATGACAGCTAGATTACAAGGATAAAATAGGTCCGTTCGAAAAGTAAATAGATAGCTGACTGACTAACTGACTGACACTCTAACCAGCGCTGTATCTGCTAAACCAGCCAGGAACGGCTGTATATTTGGGCTGCGGTTTTATCCACCAAAATAGTTGCTGTTGTTGGGTTATCGGCAGTGATGGTGGTTGACGTGATGGGATAGGTGTCGGATGAAGCACTCGCGTTGGACGAATCACTTGCTGCGTAGTCGCTGGATGACGAGGCGGTGGCACTTCCCGCTCCGCTGGCTCCCCCTCCCCCGGTGACGGCGGTTCCACTCGACATATCTTGCCGTCCGACGCCAGCAGAGACCTCGTCTATCTCGAAGCCGGAACCGTAGTTATCTTGGTTGCTCGCGTCACCTGTCCCCGAGCCATTCCAGAGTTCCGAAATCGTTGGAACACCCTGCGAGCCACCGTTTGAGACGCCTTGTGAGGAGGCGCCTTGTGAGGAGGCACTGGCTTGTGAGAAGGCACTGGCTTGTCCATTATACGCAGACTGCGACGAGTCGGATGCGGAGCCGGCATTGGCAGCGTTTAGGTGTTGGCAAGCCCAGTCCTTGGACTTGGTGTCAAGCAGCCGTTTGTTGGGATCCACATCTGGTCCTATTTCGTGGGCATGCAACCTAGACGATTTAGTTGCCGCCAATTCCTCGTACTCCTCCACCTTCCCCGTCAGTCCATCCACTGATCGCCGGTGCAAAGTTACCCAAAACCATGGCTTGATTAATTTGCATGGGATTTTTATGTTGCTTGTCATTGCACCATGCTCCAAACTGACCTAAGCATTTCATGTAGACCTCCCCCCACCTTCAGGTCATGACGGGTGGTCGCAGGTCATGGCGGACGTGCTTCCCGGCTGCCGGGAACAACAACAAGCCCCTAACCCCAAGACGTGCTTCACAACATCAGTCTGTTCACAACATTCGACCACTCACAACATCCGACTGTTCTGCAGGCCCGATGAATACGCAAGGTGTCAAGTTGTACTCCCTAATGGTCCCCCCACTCTGCCGACGACTAACGTACCATCGTCTTTTGTACCTCGTGGTAGGTCTGCTCAAGCTCTGCGCCTCCGCAACCTTAGTTTTTGGGCTGATCACCGGGTCCTACCCCAAGGCCGTGTTCGCTATAACTACTGCAAACGCAGTAAGACAAATGTGGGGTTGGTTGGAATAGATTGGCACCATGAATGAATGAATACGAATAGATGCTCTATAGTGTTTGTTAGGAATATCAGCGATATTCGATATCTCTGTTTACACGGCGACTCCCTTGGTGGTTCCGTTAAAGGCGGAAGCGCTGGTATCTGTTGTCCACTATTCGTGGTTCCACACAGCGTTTAGTTACCGCCACCGGTTGAGTGTATTGTTCAATAGACTATTGGTTCTTATAATGGGACCTATAGCCATAACTGGTGCTGCACCGCAGGGTGCCAATTGGACTACGGCAAATGTTGGGGCGATGGATCTGGGGGAGATGGTCTACATTGTACAGCTGGCAGGCGTGGCGGTGGCTGGTCTTCCGCTGCTGTTGTGGTGTTCAAAAGGCTTTGCTCTCTGGAGCTTGTCCGCGGCCATCCGGATGGCCGTTGGCTTGGCCATCTCAAATATAGGCATACGGTGTCACAGCCAAAAGTTCTTTCTCTCAAGCGGAAAAGATCCGGATTTCGCCTCCCTGCCTTTCTCCCTCCGCGAGCAAACACGGCAATTATTCAACATCTACATTATCAACGCTCTCACAGCCGGACTACTGGCCTATGCGGGATATATCACCGCGCTCATCGCTGCCTGGACCCGTTCGAAGAAATGGGTCACCCGAGACGTGTATGTTAACGTGCTTGCCACCATTGTAAGCTCCACACAGGTTTAGCACTCGGCACTTAGCACTCACCACACCATGCGGAATACCACACCAGGAAAAGTCACTACCAGGAACAAAATGTTGCTCTTAGATCCTCGTGGGAAGCTTCGTGTCGAGTTTTCTCCAGAAACGGATTCGGAGAATGTTCTGCGACTACAAGGAGATTTTTAGCAATAGCCCTGGGTATCCTGCAGAGTCGCCCTTTGCACAACATATCTGTATGGCAATACGGTTCGATCCCAGAATGAACGGGCAGCACTGGCTCACGTTCATACTCACCGTCTTCTGCGTATTGCACGTCGCCTTCGGGTCCGTGGTCCTCCTCAAACCCGCCTGGCAGTTCCAGGAGTGGGCTGTGGCGGAAGGACTGCTGCTCGCGTCGTTGAGGAAACAACACCAGGCTTAGCTTAGCTTAGCTAGAATGTAACTGGTTTCGAGCGTGTGTAGGAGTGCAACCGTAAGCTGCAACTACCAGGTCACAAGAGCATAACCCTCATAAGAGCATAACCCTCATAAGAGCATAACCACTTAGACCATTACTTGTTAAGAAGGACTTATTGGGAAGAAGGACTTATTGGGAACAAATTAGCAACACGGTAGGAGTGCTAGGAAGGATGTACCAAAAAGGGTCAATATTCGTTTGCTGTGGAAATAACGTTTCGAGTTTAGTCCGCTTGTCTACATCGTGGCAAGGTTCTCGAGGAAGTGGACAAAGACCTTCATGCCGCCCATGAAGGTGTCCACATCGAGCTTCTCGTTCTGGCTGTGGGCGCCGTCGTCCGAGCGGCCCATGGGTATAAGACAGAGGTCCTTGCCGGTCAGTGCGGAGAGCGTGAGCGTGATGGGGATGCTACCTCCTTCGCGAGTATAGTCGGGTGCTACGCCCCAGACCTGCTCAACGGCCTGGTGGGCTGCCTTGAATACATGGCTAGTTGGATCTACGTAGAACCAGGTACCGGCGTCCAGAGGGGTGACCGTGATTTTATTCGCGGTTTTGCGTTCTTTGGCGAGTTGTTGGACATACTCTACGGTCTTCTGGTCGACATATTGGCAGGTCTGGTTGGGCACAACTCGGATGGAGAATTTACCGATGACCTTGCGCGGAATGACGGTTTTGAAACCGGGTTCACTGAAGGCGCCCTCGATGCCGTGGATGGTCAATGTGGGGTGGCGCCAGCGGGCCATAAGGAGGTCCTTAACGTTTTCGTGGCGGAGGCCCTTGACGCCGATCTGGTCCTGGAAGTCCTTGAGGTTGAAGCAGAGGTTGTCATACATCTTTTCTTCCTCAGGCGTCACAGGCGCTACTTGGTCGTAGACACCGGGAATTAGCATGCGGTCATCCTCACCCTTCAGCTTGTTCAGGACGTAGAGCAAGTCGTCCAACGGCTGATACACGGCACCGCTAAATACACCCGAATGCAGGTCTACCGCGGGACCTTCCACTGCCACTTCGTACGAGTTCACTCCGCGCAAGCCATAGCTCAAGCATGGCTTCTCGGTCGTCAGCCAGTAGTTGTCGGACACCACGCAATAGTCCACCTGCTCCCACCAGCTCGGGTTCTCCTTCTTGTGCCGCGCTACGGTTGTGTCGAAACCCACCGAGCCCGATTCTTCCATGCCCTCCAGTACTAACTTCACGTTCACAGGGAAGGCCTTCTTCGCTGCCGCATATTGCGCAAACACGTACAACCACCCCACCAGCGGTCCCTTGTCGTCCGTGCTGCCCCGGCCACGTAACTGCTTACCCAAGCGAGTCAGCTGCCACGGGTCCGTATCCCAACCGTCACTCTGCTCTGCAGGCTGTACGTCGTAATGTGCGTAGATCAACACCGTCTTCTTGCTCCCGTCGAACCTAGCCATGTCCGCAAACACCAGTGGAGGGTACTTAGCCATCGACCCGTCCGGGAACGTCTGCGTCTCCTCAATCTCCTCAAACCGAACATTCGCTTCAGGATGACTCTTCAACAACTGACCCTTGATCCATGTAGCCATCTCCCGCACCTTCTCACGCGTCCCGTACTGACATGAGACAGACTTTATTGCCACCGCCTCCGCCAGCAAAGCCACCGCCTGCTCCTCACTGTTCTCAATCGCCCCTATGACCGCCTCCTTTGTCATACCACCCGTCCAAAATTTCTCTCCATAATTCCACCTGTCTTCCGCACACGCGCCCACACACAAGGTCCGGAACCCCATAAGGCCCGGAACCCCGGTCCCCGCTGTCTAGAGCCCCTGGTAACGAGCTCCTTCCCGCAGCCGGGCTCCTGGCCCACACTGCCCCGAACTATATTGGCTCACGCACGCTGACCAGGTGGACAAAGACGACCGGGCGGACGAAGACGAAGACGACCAGGTGGACGAAGACAACGAGGTCGACGAAGATTATTCAGCGAGCCCGGGGAGTTATCAAAACAAGGTTGCGGAGATTGGGCATCAAGTCGGCGGAGGTTTCCGAGCAGAGAGAGAAGTGTGAAACTTGAATTTGCCATGAGCGCTCTTCATATGTTGCTGCCAGGCACTTTGTCTCGCCTCCGCCTCCTCTTCCTGCTTCCGTCGTTTCTGATCTCTTTTTATCACTTCCAGCTGTTTCCTTTTCGACTCCCGAACGCTGGCTGGGTCCCCCGGCTTCACTACAATAGACGCCGGGATTTTGTACCCTGCAGGGGTCGTGATGATTTTCTTGGACGGTTCTTTGGCCCTATGCCCGGAAGTCTTTTTACCCGTCGTCGCTGGACGGGGACGAATCTGAAAAAATGGCGTGTGCCGCTGGTGTATTCGCCCGGTTCTACCTTAACCCTGCTACCTTAACCCTGTGAAGAACTTCAGACGCGAAGTTGGAACCCGGGTGTAGTGACATAACACGTGAGACAAAAGAGCCAGTGAAGGTAACATAGAATAGGGGGTAACATAGAATAGGGGGTAACATAGGACCGGAGTGATACTCTATCTAATGGGAGTTCATCTTCTTCATCATAATCTTGATAGTACACTACGACCCGGGAAACACGAATCTTTTTTATGGTACAGTCGTACCAGACTCCGTCGTTATACAAAGCCTGCATTTCAGATCCTTCTTCGAAACTGCTCGGGTCGCACTGGTTAATGAGGCGGACTTTCGCAACGTCTAGTTCCTTTACTGTACCAGCGTCGTCGAGCAATCGAACGAGAATGGTCTTAGGCATTCCCGAGTCTGCGTCGAGTTCTCCAAGACTACTTATTGTACCGTGTTTAAAGTCAGAAGAAATAACACAGGTCCGTCCAATGAGTCCCTTGGCTTTATTCGTCATCTCATCGCCTTTGAGCGTTTCTTCCCTAGCACCGCTGGGGGCATTTTCTCTAGCAAAATCCCCCTTCGTGGGATCTTGGCTGGCGGCAGCCTTGCTTATGCCACCAGCACTCTCCGTATAATACCGAATCACTTCCTCCAGGTCCCGTTTCACGCTCAGTAGTTCCTCATTCGTAGGGTCGTCCTGCAAGACCTCTTGTATTGCCTCGAGGTTGGCGTGGAATTCCGCTAGCTTCTCAGCCTCCATTTACCAGGGAAAAATATTGCAAGTAGAGCATTTCCTAAACACAACTAAGTTTGGAACTTTAACTAAAAATTTGGCCTTCCCGCCAGCTAAAATTTAGATAACCAATCTGTACACAACCTCGACCCAGTTATAACTCGCTCTCATTCGCCCGTTTTTGTGGGCGTGAGGTTCCTTATGAGGTAGCGCTCGTAAGATCAAGATCAACGTCCTTTGACATTATCGTCGCAGCGGTATGGGAGTGTTATCTTTGGGAGATAAATCGATTGGCTCGATCCGATGTTCGATTTGTATTTCGTCGTTCAAAGCTGTCTCTCTCACCTCCAAGCTTTCCGGGTCGATCTTCCGCCGTACTTTAATAACGGGTTCGTCATTGACGGCATGTAGGGTGTTACTGGACACCGGGACGGCCTGTGCCATGGCACCCCAGGTGCCAAGTACGACTGGAAGTAGTATCAGGCCGTGGCTGATTCCCAGAAGGACCACTAGAGTCATCATTTTGAAGAATATTCGCAGAATGTAGCTAGTGCTGAAGCCAAGCATAACGATCCCCAGAAAGTTGCTCATAGCTCCATGGAACAGGGGGGTACCGACGAGAACCATGGCCTCTGCAACCCGCACGTCTCGAGAAGGTCCCACGGCGTTTACGAAAGCGTAACACAAGTGCGCGGAATAGTCTACAGCAAACCCAATGGAAATGACGAGAATGACCATACTAATCATATTCAATGGTACATCCCAGAAGGACATATAGCCTATGACCGCAACGTCGATAAGGAACATGATAATGATGACCACCAGGCCAGAACTAAGATCTGGAATCAGCATCAAGGTCACAACCAACAGCGCCATACTCGCAGTCGTTAAGGAAGATATGACGGACTTTTGTATAGTAATATCACTCTCATAGAATACCAGCAGATAGTTGTAGAAATGGGGATCTAAAGGATACGTTGTGTTTGTGATGGGCAGTTGACGAAATTCTTCTTCGTAAGCACGGAGCTGAAGCATCCAGCCAGCCCGTTCCTGTGAACCTGTGGTCCCCATGGGCAATAGTTGTTGTCTGAATGTCATCATGGTTTCTCCCTTCCAGACGAAATCAAGCTCGAATTGTTTGTACGCTGAGTCAGGATCGGAGATTGCTCTCTGGAGAGCCCGATTAAACTCTGTCTTATTATTGCTCATTAAGCTGGGTTTTAATGCTGCATCATCAGCCATTCTTGTCAACGGATCATTAAGCAAAAAGTTGCCTGGGTCATCGTTAACCACGTTCACAAATCTCCTCAGTGTTTCAATGACTCTTGATTCGTGCCAAGGGATATCGTCGCCGACATAGAACATTTCAACAGGCAAATCCACCTCGGATAAGTACTCATTGACCATGTGATCAAACTGCTTAAGATAGCTGTTATCAGGACTAAGATCTTCCATCTCTAATCCTTGCTGTAATTGCGTTAATCCGTAGAAGCTAACCCCTAGGTTACCTGCAAACAAAATTAGAACCAGAAGTTTGACCCACGGTTTCAACAAGTAATGACAGTAATGTTTCATGAAGAAGGTTCTCCACGTCTTTCCAACGTTATGGGGGGGTTCCATCCTGTATACGTCGGCTTTCAACTTTGGATGCAGATCGAATCGGTCTAATATCAATGGCCGCGGCATGAACTTAATGTAGGACTCTTCCCTATCAATCATTCTTGCGTTACCCCTAAGTGCTACACCACTTGCCGGGAGAGCGTCAGTAAGTGCTTCATTAGCTGATGAGAAAAGTTGATCGTCTTTTTTGACGTCTGGTGCGTGCCAATAATTTCCACGCTTTGAGAAGTCTATCCACCACTTATGCACTTTATTCATCCATTGGAATCGATGTTCGGTAATGACAATAGGATCTTTTAGCTCCATAAGGAATTCACTATCATCTTTGACACCTTCTTCCACGAGAACACTGACAACCTGATAAGTAGAAATTGAGTCAAATATATTGTAACGCTTCTTTCGGTCAAGGGCATCTTGATCACTGGACAAACCCCCACCACAAATGCAAGCCATTTGGGCTTCTTCTTTTTGAGCCTCTATGCATACGACAGCAAAGAACAAAGTGAGCTCATAAATGAGACTAAATAGTAACCCGAATAATGTGAATATACAGAAGGTCTTGATGCTTAAATATTGTGTCTGTGTGCCAATGGCGAAGGCAATAACATTGGTAACAGTGGTCATCACCACAGATACTCCGCAGCCACGTAGGGTCACCGCACAACGGTCACGAGGAGTATCTTCACCGTAAGCCAACGCGTAACTGCCGATCACAACAAAGATGTCATCTGCTCCCACACCCATGACGATAAATGGACACACTAACGCTGTCGGCGTAAACACTGTACCCCACAAGGCTGGCACACCGAGCCCGGCATATAAACCCAACAAGCATGACAGAGAACCACACAGCGACGATAGAGCTTTAGATCTGTATTGGTCAAGGTTGAAATTAATGATTGCCGCGTAGGTAACAAGTAAAATGAAAGTGTAAACTACGAAAATGACGTCGTCCGATTCTGCAGTGGACTTTGATAACTCATCATCGCGTGTGCGGAACGCCATAGCGCCTATATGCAGAGGCCCATAGTATTCATTCTGTTGAAATACGTTGTAGAGATTCCACTCCCACGCCAATTCCCGAGCGGTAAATTCGGGTTTGTCCCATATTTCGTACGTGAATCTCATGGCCTTAACTGAATAAATACATTCAATATTGCTTTCAGCATACCCAGGTTTGTCCGCCAGTTCGGTGTATCGATCAGGACTAAAAATTTGCGATATTAGAGTCGTAGGAACTTGTCGTGTACAATTTTTCTTCTCAAAATCACCAAAGACAAAGTTAGGACAAAATCCCTTGCGAAGACTATTAAATACCAAGCCATCGAACATCCATAGCTCAGGTGCCGACCCTTCGTCCAACATCAATTTCATATCATCTATTCCCATTTCGAATACGCTTTGTATTTTACAGCCGGTTACTGGATCGGGTGCACACATGTCATCGTACCTCAGCCATTTCTTGTCTGGTTCTAAGCCCTCATGACTGGGGTCCTGGAACCATTCTGGGTAGTACATTTCGTTCGCGGGCAGTGCTACGATCTGGCCCGTTGTTGGGTCAGCTCGATTGCCTCGTGCGATGTCATCGACCTGACGAACCCACTCCAACATGTCCCATGTGAGTAGGTTTTGGCCGGGCGGTTCGCTCGTGAGTGCGATAAAGTTCGCCTGGGAAATCACGTCTTGAAAGTAGTGGTCGTGGATTATGCCATCATTACGTGCCTCACTGACAGGCAACGAATACAAATTGTCTGCCCCATCCACCCACTTGGCTATGGGTGGTACAAAACCGATTGCAGGCGGCAACGATAGTAACAGGCTACACACAATTATCTTGTACGGCCGGTCATACACGAATAATGCCCAATCACCGAACACCACGTTCAACTTGTCCACGAACTGTTCCTTAAAGTCCATCACATCGTTGATCTTTTGGATTATTCCCATGCTCTAAATATTCCAACAAAATATATTGCACCACGATGAGCACTACCAACCCCGTCAACCGGACCACTGAGTGGGATGACCTTCAAGTTAGCAAACCCCACTACCCTGCACATGTCCCCAAACCGACCTGGGTTTATGCATCAGAACCCACTTCTCTTAGATAAAATACGGAAATTATGCTCCTCTGGAAAGGGAGGTTAAGGCGGAAGAGATCTCCTTGAAGGCCCAAGAAGCTATAGCCAACGTAGACCCTTTAGCGGGCAAGAATCTGGACCAGCTGGATGAATTAGAGGACGATATAGATGAGGACGTTCTCGAAACCTATCGACGACGACGATTAGAGGAGCTAAAGGCAGCTAAAGCCAAAGAGAAGTTTGGAGACGTCTACAATGTGTCCATGGACAACTATGTCGATGAGGTAACACTGGCTAGCAAACAAGCCACGGTCATTCTTCACTTGTACGACGACTCTTTGGAAGAATGCGTTCTCATGAACCGCGCCCTGGAACAGCTCAGCAAAACGCACCGAGATGTCAAATTTTGCAGAGGTCTCGCCTCTCGAATCATCAAAAACTACCACCAAAAACCCGGGTCACTTCCCACTCTCCTTATATACAAGGATTCCAAGTGCGTCAACCAAGTCATGGGCATCTCCATGTTCTGTGACAAAGTCGTGGACCTGCAACCACAACTAGTAGAATTCGTGCTCGGCAGACAACTCAAACTCTTCCATACCGAAACGGAAGACCCACGAAATGCAAAAGCAACACGGCTTCGAAAATACCTCACCAAAGACAGCGACGAAAGCGACCAGGAAGTTGGCGCGGACGCGCTTCACACAGGAGCTTATGATAAAACATATGCTGACCTCGACCTAGACCGAATAATGAATGTTGTACGGAAATAGATGGCCAACTGCCGGGATCAAAAATCGAGTTATTGCCGGCAAGCTCGAAATACAATTTTTGCTGAATGCAGCTTGGCACACCGGGTACGCCAGGGCCCCGCCACACGTCTACCGCGTGCAAATGCGAGGATAATTAGGCCATCTCAGCAAGCAAGCACGATAATTCATGAATAAACCTCATAAGTAAAGTCCTATCTAACTAAGCAAAACATTTTCATTAAGTCCGGCCTGGGTGCTAGTGCCCAGGTTCGAATGGATTCTCCTCATTCGGCTTCATATTAGCAAAAGTATGGTTCACATCTCGGTGGTGCGATTCATCTGCTCGTATAGCGAATATCATGTCCGTGAAAGAGGCGTCATTCTTCAAGCTCCAATATTGCCTGGCAAGCAGGGGAGCCTTCATGGATGCCAACTCTGGCTGATGACCTGCCTCGAGCTCCTCCAGCAGATGTGTATATGTTTTGACCGCCTCTTCCTCTAGATAACCAACAAATCGGTGAGCCAGTCTGGGAGACACCAAGTACATGCCAGTGTAGAGTGGAAGGAAGAACAGCTGCCCAGCAATTACAAATGTTCTAAACACCCGTCCAGGATTTTTGATCATGAGCGCTGACATCAAGTGCATCCTCTCATTTTCCGCTTCTTCTAACAGCGTATGGATCCAGCCGTAATCTCTTTCCATACGTCTTAGACTCCTCAAATGCCGGAATGCCGCGCCCACCAATCCAGGCACGCCAGCAATCGTCTCAAGAAGCACTACCCGATTAATCCAACCCTGAGCAGATAACGGGCCAAATGCATAACCTGTACACACGTCAAACACGCCGCGAATTGACCTGAGAAGATACAGGGCAGCCCGATCAGATACTCCTCGCGGTCTGAAATGAGTCTTTCTACAAAAACGAAGCTTGGGCTTTAGATTCAACTCTTACTGGACAGCATGCACCTCTTCATCATTCCAGATTGGATGCGGTTGAGTATAACGCGTCTCGCTCACCCTACATTAATATACCTAAGCTGTAATGCGGCTGCTCACCAATTTTTCTCGTATTCCTCAGATTCCGCTAGCAGCGACGGGGAGGCTGTTGCGTTGCTCTTGGCATTAAAATGCTTGGGCTGTCCCTGCTCCTTCTTGAACACAACGGTTCTTCTCTGCTCCGTAAATTGGGGAAGTCTTCTTGTCTGCGCTGCGGTGCTCGGCATCCGGAAATCCGTCCATAAAATGCGATCTGGGCGTAGAGGAGATTTGCTGATAGCCCTGACATTGAGGGGCCTTAATGCAGCTCTGCTGACTAGCTGATTAATCAACGCCATTGCGTTTGCAAACACGCGCGCGAGATCGCAAAATAAAAGCTTCAGAAAATCTAGAAAGGAACACTGGCTTTATTCCGGTTCCGGCAGGCCCAAGATGATCTCATTTGGCAGTTGATTCCCGGCGGCTATTTAATTTCGAATCTATTGGGATATGGGTACCGAGGTGGCCCCTTCGGTAGCCTCGGTGATTCTGGCTTTGATTTTGGTAGGATTTATCGTGGTAGTATGGTATTCAGGATATGTGAGCAAGGCTGAAATCATTAAGCCCACTGGAAACCTCGTATCGGCATTCAATAGTCAAAGATGGTGGTCACTTGCCTGCTCTTTCTTTGCAGCGGCATTTGGGGCATCGGCGTTAGTTGCGAATCCGGAGGCAGGTGCGACAGGAGGATGGCTGCAAGTATTTTGTTATGGCATTGCTAACGGCATGCCGTATTTCCTGCTGTCAACGCTGGGTCCAAGAATGCAGTCTTTCTTCAAAACTCAGAACTTCACTGTTGCGGATTTTGTGAGGAAGCGCTATGGAATGCCGATGTATGTGCCGACCGTTATACTCTCTCTCTTCTTCCTTTTCATCTGGCTCACAGCCGAGCTGACATCAATCGGTAAGCTTCCTTCCTGGAACAGGACAATACCGTGGATTTGCAGTGGTCTTTAACACCGAGCCTACCATATGTTTTGTTATACCTGCCCATATTTCTTTCTGTAGCCGATAGCTTTAGTTTGTTGTCCCCTGGATTCTATACGCCTGCCGCTGTCGTCTGTGTCGGTTTCGGAGTTGCGATGTACGCGTTGTTTGCGGGATTCAAAGGTAGTTTGTTGACAGATAGGATTCAAGCTGTAATGGCTTTGCTGTGTACCTTTGCTCTGATAACAGCGGTGGCGTGTTACGTGAAGCCATCAAAGCAGGCCTGGTCCGAGGCGTCGTCAGCAACCTCCGTTGGTGAGGGCATCAGTGGGGGTATAGTTCTCATATTGTCTACAACATTGAACCAGTTCTTAGATTTAGGTAGTTGGCAACGAGTCTTTGCATCTGAGGACAAGAAGCAGGCTCGTATTGGGTTGTTTGTAGCAGGTTCAGTGAATTTCCTCTGTCAGGCCCTCATGACCTTTATGGGGATTTATGCCATGGCTGCGGCAGTGGCAGGAGAGATTGCGCTGATGCCCGGTGACGAAGCGCTGGGTTTCTATATATTGCTGAGCAAGATACCTTTAGGTTTTAATGTGATTGCGCTGGTCTGTGTGCTGACCCTCTCGATCTCGACGGTGGACTCAATTGAGAACTCGCTGGCCTCTGCTTTCGCCGAGTTGATGCTTGAGAAGAACGTCAGCCTCAACTGGGCCCGGGGGTTCGCGCTCTTACTCGTTGGACTGGCTGTTGGACTGGCAACGACGCAGCAATCCGTTCTATCGTTGTTTCTTTTCAGCAATATCTTCGCGAGTTGTATAGTACCACCGATATTCCTGGGCTTGTCATACACCATGGCAACCACCACCAGTGCTCTCGGTGGCTTCATCAGCGGCGTCTTGACAATATTTATCATTGGATGGAGCTACCAAAAGTCGTTTGTTGAGGGCTTGAAGTGGCCAATGTTCCCCGAGGGTTTCAACCACTGGGCGACTCTCCTTACATTTATCCTGTGTCCAGTTGTGGCCACCCTAGTCACAATTAGTGTGGCAAAGGCTTGGCCTTCGCAGGATACTCATTCTTTACACTCCACCCTGACTGGACCGGAGGTAGCCTGGACCGCAGACAGTGAAACCGAAATGGAATCACCATACGGAAACACCATATAGACTTTAGCACCAGAGGTAGTTCGTCTCTGATCGGACCCCCAGCAGCTCTAACAGAAGGGCCACGTGACGAGGCAAAAAGCAGTGCCCCTTCTTATCTTGCACAAATCGTCATGCGACCAACCAAGTTTCAAGACGATGATGAAGCCACCGAAATGCAACACAAACATAGGCCAAAAGCCGGTGCTAATAAAGGTGACTCATACACCGTGTACGACCAGGAGAAGAGACCAGGCAACAAGAGGAGGATGTTATCGCGATTTTTCATGATTATCATTGACTGCAACATGATCGTTCATGACGAGACCATTTATGTCTCGCTGGGATCATTAGACCTGTTCTGGCCACTGTTCTGGCCTGGTTATAAAGAGGGTTTTGTTTTTATAAGAGGACATGCTTCAGAATACATTCCGAGTGCCATTGAAGATTCGTGCCACGAGGTTGACATCTGCGGTGTTGAGAAGCAATTGGGGCGACACAAACGCCTTAGTGATGGTAGGTGCTACATCTATAGAACATTGTATGTGGTGTAGAACGTTCCCTTTTGGGAAGATATAGCAGTGGATCTGGAGAAGGCGGCAGAGCATTGTCCAGAGTTCGGACGCTCAAAGGAATGGGGAAAGACCCAGAGGGTGCTGGATTTGATGTTTCAGTGTGAAGACGTTAGAGACTATATTAACGAGATACTGGAAGCGCTAGACAGACTGAATCCGAGAGGTAAGCATGCAGGTAGTGACAGGTGTCCGGATGTGCTGGGTACAACTGGTTGTTCCGCAGAGATGGGAGTGATGACAGTGCGGAGAACTCCGAGTGAGATGGATAAGAGAATTGAAGTGATACTGTCTCGGATGTCTGAGCTGCAGAAGAACTATCCCGAATTGAACACCAAAATTGACGAATCAGTGGGCAAGGGAGTAAAGCTTCTTCGATCTCGCTACAAGTTTGATTGGCCTGGCCAACACTCGGCTTACTTTTAGACAATTTGTTCCTTTTCTGCAGCAGGCCTGACCCGCCAGGTCAACTGCTGCAAAAGCGCGTTTGTACTGGACCCAGACACGTTGGACCCAGACACGTTGGACCCAGACACGTTGAACCCAGACGCGTTGGACCCAGACACGTTGGACCCAGACACGTTGGACCCGGACGCGTTGGACTCAGACACGTTGGACCCAGACACGTTGGACTCAGACACGTTGGTTTTTACATTAATTAGTTTTACATAAGCCTGTACATCAGTTAATGTGCAGGTCGGCGTATAAGCAGGCCGGCCTGCACATTAACTATGTCCCCCATTGGTTAGCGGGCAGATAACTATCTAGCTAATCGCTCGTTTCCTGCTTCTGAGGTGAGGACCACCTACCTGGTTTGGCTTGGAGGCTAGTGTCCCGGTTCAAAGGGATTTTCTTCATCGGGTCTCATGTTGGCGAAGGTGTGGTTCACGTCTCTGTGGTGTGACTCATCCGCACGGATGGCGAAGATCATGTCTGTGAAGGTGGCGTCATCCTTTAGTTGCCAGTACTGGCGGGCAACGCGGGGTGCTCGCATGGCAGCTAGACTGGGTTGGTGTCCTGCCTCCAGTTCTTCGAGTAAGTGGGTATAGGTTTTTACAGCCTCCTCTTCCAAGTAGCCGACGAACCGGTGTGCGGTCTTCCCAGAGACGAAGTAGAGTGTCGTAAACAGCGGTAGGAAGAACATCTGTCCGGCAACCACGATGCATCTGAAGAGAGGACCTGGGTTCTTTATCATCAGAGCAGACATCAGATGCATTCGCTCGTTTTCAGCCTCCTCCAGCAACGTGTGGATCCATCCATAGTCCCTTTCCATCCGCCGCAGACTCCGCAAATGACGGATACAAGCACCGACCAAACCCGGAACTCCAGCCACAGTCTCCAACAACACCACACGGTTAATCCAGCCCTGAGCAGACAGAGGACCGAACGCATAACCCGTACATACGTCGAAGGTCCCACGGAGCAGCCTGATAAAGTACAAAGCAAACCTGTCACTCATACCCCGAGGGCGGAAATGCGTTCTCCTAAAAACAGATGTGTCAACACCGTAGTTAGCCGAGGCGTAGCTGACCAAGCAGTTACCGCACGCTCAATCATACAGCACGCGCGCTAAGTCAAATGCCACACGCGCTCGATCCTGTCCCCAATGCGTGTGGCGTCGCTAAGAGTACCCAAAACGTGCAGTCCACTTACTGCACAGAATGAACTTCTTCATCGTTCCAGATTGGGTGAGGTTGGTTGTATCTAGTTTCGCTTTCCCTGAGCACACAGATACATGTTGCAAATGTCTTCTCAGGTCTTACCAGTTGCTCTCATACTCGTCGTCAGCCGTTTGGTCCAAACAAGGGGTAGCAGTGGCGTTCGTCTTCGCGTGGAAATGTCTAGGCGGTCCCTGGTCCTTTTTGAAAAGTATCCATCGCTTCTGACCTGTATTGTTTAGCAGGCTTGACTCGGGCCTGCCCGACCGAGTAAGACCGGAACCGTCGGTGAACAAGAGCCGGGACTGACAGGGGAGATAGAGGGCGAGCCTAGGCTTGGTGAAGCCAGCACGATGCATCATGTCTTGACGGATCTTATTGGGACCAGGTGGAGCAGCAACCTTTGGACTTGTCACTGTTGGTGAGTCAGTTGTGGATACAGTGGGCAGATGCTTGAATGCTTCGTTTAGCAGGTGAGCCTCAGGCCATATATCCGGTACGCGTGTTCGTGTTGCAGCCTCGCTGAGTCTACCGCGGTTCAACGATCTGGCAGCCGATGCTGATTGGCTTATCAACGATGGTTGATTGTAAAATGTATTCCAGGATGTCCACAATATTCTGTTGCCTGAAGCTGCTCGTTGGCTGGTGGGTTTGATGATACTCATGCAACAATATTTTTGAGACAAATTGAACAACGTTTTTACTACGTCATGGTTGAGGCAACCAAAAAAGATCAGTGCATCGCGCCCACCCATTTTCATTCGATACCCTGTTTTGCCCGCAAGTATCTTGGGCTCTGCTTTCACATGATCGTGTGACTAACATAAACTATCGATTGGCAGAAGTGCGGACACGGGGATGGGTAGAAGCCATCGTAACATCAAAAAAGTATATTCCAGGCAAGAGGAGGTCCAGACAGAGAGAGTACAGACGAATAGGTCCAGACAGGTAATGCCAGACAGAGAAGAGGTAATGACAGACAGAGAGGAGGTAATAGTTTACAACAAAGTTATTTCCTCAGCCGCGCTGATTTGAGCAGCTCCCATGGGCGTCATGGATGCGAACCCAGCGCCGAGCTGGGGGTTGCCTGTCACGAAAGGTGTGGGAGTGTTCCCTCCGGCCATCCCTCCGACCATCCCTCCGGTCATCCCACCGGTCAGATCGCAATACTTGACGGCCGCATGTAGAAGGTCTTCGGGCCGCGCCCGTCTCGTATGTCGAAGATTGGCCAGAGACGCGAACTCTGCGGCAGGCGAGGGGTCCCTAAGAGAAGTAAATGCGACGTCGCTGAGAGCCTGAGCCAGCAAACCTCGACTGCAAGGCGAAAGCATCTCCTCGAAGCCAGGTAGGCTGCGCCCAGGCAGACTGGGACCGCCCAGACTCGTGCCACCCAGACTGCTTCCGGAAAGAGGCTCGGCTCCTTCCGTGCCGGGAGTAAACGATCTCGGTGACAGCGAGCCGGTAGTGGAGCTGCTCCCCGCAGTCTCTGATACCTTGATACTGATGTAGTCAGCAAGTTCTGCACACAAGGCGTCTGAAAACAAAGTGAGGTCCGCCGCGCGGGCCGTGTGTGATCCAGTCGCGAAAGGCGAGCCCTGCGTCAGGCAGGACCTGGTACTCGGCGCCTGGTAACTAGAGTTCAGCGCCTGGTGACTAGAATCTAGGGCGGTACTCGAAGCAGACCCGAGCGAAGCCGGCCCCAAGGACGCAGGTCCAAGAGAGCCACCTGCACAAACAGTGCTTTTAACTCGAGCACTGGTGGCTCCGTCGGGAATGCTTACACCATGCACACAGCCGGGCAAGCCACTCATGTTGGGAAAGCTACTGGGCAAACCAGTGGTGGCCAAACCAGTGGTGGGCAAACCAGCGGTGGGCAAACCAGTGGTGGGGAAACCATTGGTGGGGAAACCATTGGTGGGGAAACCAGTGGAGGGTAGCAGAAGCGCAGGTCCGGGATGGTGAGCACCTGAGCTATTTTCGTCGTCCTCCGCGTCCTCCAGGTCCGCGGCCTCCTCGTCCCCCGTGGTGACGTCATCGGCGAGTGGCGCGGCCGGTAGGTTATTACACGACGTGGGCGACGTGGAAGAAGAGAGCGTGCCGAGGCTGCTGGCGCCGAGGCTGGTTCCCGCGAGGCTGTTTGCGGCTGTTAGGAATTTGTCTTCCTTAGAAGGAAGATAGTGCAACTGGGAGGCGATCCAAACGGGCGAGGTCTCCTGGTGTTGTAGCAGGCTAGTGTGCAGCGCTTGGATCCCATCCGGAACGCCCATGGGTCCAAGGAGCGGCGCGCCCTGTTGCGGACTAACGCGACCGCGTTTGGCGTAGGAGTCTTTACGAGCCCAATCGGCTCGCACTCGGACACCACGAATCGCAACCAGTCCCATACTGGCCGCCTGGATCGCAGCCGCCGCCTCCGCCCTTTTTGAGAACCGTACGAACGCGTACCCCGCCGTAGAAGTCCACTCTTTGTGCGGGTGTCTCGACGCTTCGTCGCACACGACCATCGCCAGTTCCACTCTTCCAAAGCGCCGAAATTCAGTGACCAGGTCCTGCCTCACAGTATCATAAGGAACGTTCGCTATAAGTGTAAACTGTGCGCCCTTGGAAGTCATTGATTGCTGGTGGATGCAAAAACTTTAACTCATAAATCTATATTCTGCCGTCCCCCCTTTTACCCCACCTCAACTCTTCTTGTCTATCAACCACGGCTAATCGGGACGACAGAATAGATTTCCTCAGTGCTTCTCCCCAGCCGACCCCGCATTTAGACAAAATGAGCCACTCGAAAACCCCAGAATTTCCGCATTAATCGACTTAACTATTTATAGCTAGGAAATGACGGTCGGCGAGGGGAAAACCTGGACCTTGCCGCTGCTGTGGGCCATGGATTCAATCAGACGGATGGCGCAAGTGGAAGCAATGGTGTACCTCACTGTATGGTTTGTGACCAATATTGCGATCACCATTTGTTCCAAGGCGTAAGCTACCTCTTTAAAAGCCGAGTGGTGCTTCTCTACTGAACCCCTTGGGACACTGACCCAGACCTGACCCAGACCTGACCCAGACCTGACCCGTACCCGTCTACCAGACCGACCGAAACTGCTCACTACCGGGCTCATGCTACTGTGACATTTTTGTAGCTTGTTTAAGGACCTGCGATTCCCCTACCCGTTAATGCTGACGGCGATCCATCTTGGTTGTACTGCTGTCATGGCGATCATTGTAAGCTACACTGGTGTGTACGCGCCTGAAGCCGTAACCGTGAGTCTATTGAAGCACTGTTTGCCTTTCTCGGTCGTCTTCACACTGAACATCTGGCTGAGCAACTACAGTCTCATGTTCGTGAGCATCAACGTACACCAGGTTATCCGCACGACCATTCCGCTGTTCACCATGCTCTTCTCTTGGCTGATCTACAGTGAGCGCTATCCCCTGGGTCTCCTACCATCCATACTTGTGGTAATCGTCGGCGTCGCCGTAACAGTGTGGGGCGACTTCGATCTTACCTCGTTGGGGCTGGCATTAGTGATTCTCGGATGCGCCCTATCTTCGCTCAAGGGCATCATGACGAAGAAAGTGCAACTCGGACTTCATACAATCGATGTCCTCCGCATTGTGTGCCCCATCAGCGTACTCCAGCTTCTACTCGCCGCCCTTCTAGACGGAGAGTTTATGGGCGCGGCGAGACGACACAAAGAGCTCGAGTGGGGCGTTTTGCTCACCCAAGGACTGCTAGCAGCCCTTCTCAACTTTGTTTCATTCAAGTACGCACACACAGTCTGGGCACACACAGTCTGGGCACACACAGCCTGGGCACACACAGTCTGGGCACACACAGTCTGGGCACACACAGTCTGGGCACACACAGTCTGGGCACACACAATCCGGGCACCCACCACCAACCCGACATCTTTCTCTCAGGTGTGCCCATTTGAATTCTCCTTTAACAATGAACATTGCCGGGAATGTAAAGCAGGTTGTCACTCCCGTATTTTCTCATATGATCTACCACACACAGATGACCTTGGTCGGTGTTCTGGGTCTCCTCGCGACGTTGTTGGGTGCCGTGTGGTATGGATACGATAACAGTAGGTTTAAGGCTGCGGAGGCGCTGTCTAAATTTACACCCGAAGAACTGACACCGGAACCGGGGGAGGAAACCGGGTTCATTACAGCAGCAGACATTGAACTAGGGGACTCCATCGTCATCAACGAAGCAGTTTCCCATCAAGTCGTTTGTCCCATACCTGGAACATTACCGGAAGACAGTTAATTAATTAGTTCAAATGCCTCAGATCGGACAGAGGGGCCGACCGCTCGGTCTTTATCGTCGCCGGATCTGTCTAGATACATTCATTGGCTATACCAGATGAGAGTTTGGTGCTTCAACTCAATGACTGGTTTTGAAGAAATGAATAATAACAAAGGACCAAAGAAAAGGACTGAAGAGAAGGACTTACCTTAGAGGAGGGGACCTTACAGGAGGAGAGGCCATCAAGATACCTTACAGGAGGAGAAGCCATCGAGACCCAGAGAGTGCATCAGACCCGAAAATAGGGTGATGTCCAGCATCGGTGATTACCGTCGCTCTATTGTCAGGGAAAAAAATTCTGCAGCGCAACGTTCTCTGACAGTCTGTTTAGGTCTGCTTTGACGGTGGTCCCCCTTTTGGTTGTCGCAGTTTTGTCAGCTTGGATTCTGTTAGCTTCTCTCAGTTGCTTTCAGTTTGCTGCGTTAGTTCCAATTGCTTGAGTTCTGTTTACTTCACAGACAATATCCAAAAGCAAGGTGCGGTGCCGCCCAAGAGTCCAGTGCTGCTCAAGAGTCCAGTGCTGCTCAAGAGTCCAGTGCTGCTCAAGCTCGGGTAGACTTTTTTGTTGTTCGAGAATTAATTTGTGGGAGGGTGTGATGCTGACGAAGGCGCATTTGTTGGTGATTGGAATTCTGTTCCACTTCGCGTTTATCTTCACAATTTTTGACATCTATTTCGTGTCGCCTTTGGTCCATGGCACTGAGGCGACAGAGGAAGAAGACGGTATCGCGCGGCGCCTGGTGTTGATGGTAGGGGACGGTTTGCGGGCGGATGTGTGCTACGGCAAGATGAAGTACCCGGGAACGGAAGGTGATGGAAAGTATTTGGCGCCTTGGTTGAGACACAAGATAAAGCATGAAGGTACTTTCGGGATTTCCCATACTCACGTGCCCACGGAGTCGCGGCCCGGCCACGTAGCATTGATTGCTGGCTTTTACGAGGACGTTTCCGCCGTTACAAAGGGCTGGAAAGCGAATCCTGTCGAGTATGATTCAACCTTCAACCGGTCTAGACATGTCTGGACTTGGGGAAGCCCCGACATCCTACCCATGTTTGTACAAGGGTCGCCAACAGGCAAAATTTCGGCTGAATGGTACGATCGCCAGCTGCAAGATTTTACTCAGGACACACGTGTGCTAGACACGTATGTATTCGATAAGTTAGAGAAAACACTACAGGAGGCTAAAGAGGATCCAACCGGGGAGCTGAACCAATTGCTGCATCAAGATAAGATCATTTTCTTCCTCCATTTGCTCGGACTAGATACAGCTGGTCATGCTAGCCGACCACATTCTCTTGAATACTACCGAAACATGGAGTACGTTGACGAGAATTTGCCTAGGGTAGAGGCCATGATTAATGAGTTTTACGGGAACGATGGCAAAACGGCCTGGATCTTCACGGCGGATCATGGCATCAGCGATTGGGGCGCTCATGGAGACGGTCATCCAGATAATACAAGAACCCCGATCATTGCCTGGGGAGCGGGGATTGCAGGTCCGACACCGGAAGATGGTGGACGCCCTACGCATGATGAGTACATACGTGAGTGGGAATTACCAGTGAAACAAAATGATATGGAGCAAGCTGATGTGACTCCGCTTATGGCGCATCTCTTGGGGCTTAGTATCCCTGTCAATTCTGTTGGCAAATTGCCAGTTGACTATCTAGAGGCGGAGCCCCTCGTCAAATACAAGGCATTGCGGAAGAATGTGCGGCAAATGATACATCAATATGTGGTTAAAGACGCTGAGACGCGAGCGAGGCAATTGCGGTACAGGGCTTACAGTTTTGATGGCCGTAGCGTTGACGAACGTTTGCAGGACGCCGACGCTTTCGCCTTTGATAACAATGACCCGAAGCGAGGACTGGAGGAGCTGGACCGACTATTTGATCACCTGAAGAAGAGTCTTCAGTACCTTCAAACTTATAACTGGCTCTTTTTGAGGACGCTGGTTACAATGGGTTTTGTTGGCTGGATGGGTTATGCTGCAACGTTCGTTGTCCATAATTTTGTTACACCCTATACCATGATGCATGACAATTCGCAGCTGGCCAACAGGGAAGCATCTGCGGCCCGATTCTGCTTGTACATGTCGGTCATTATCTACGTTGGTCTTGCTGTGATTCTTGCATATCAAAAGACGCCTTTGAGATACCAACTGTATGCGTTCTTCCCTGTCCTCTTTTGGAATATTACGTTGACTAATATTCGATACACTGCACACGGAATTCGAAAGTGGATCGATACTTCTTCCAGTCGACCGATTGTGGAGGCTATTGGGTTGCTTGTAATGTGTGTCGCACTATTGGAGACGATGGTGTACGGTTATTTCAATCGACAGGCTTTCTCACTGTGCACTCTGTTGCTAGGCGTTTGGCCTTACGTTCATCGACCAAGGGAGTTTCACCAGAAGCATCGTATCATGGGATTTGTGTGGCTAGGGTTATGTATCATTATGGCAGGCTTTACACTACTGGATCCGATTAAGAAGGAGAATCTTTTGCTCATTAATGTATCCGGTCTGGCGATGCTTGGTGTGGGTGTTTACGGGTATTGTCAGATATTCAGAAGCAGTGTTGCGCTTGAGAGGAGACGTGGCACTCGTCGTGGCCGGGTTGGAATCATCTTTCAAATGTTGATTCAGGTTGTCGCACTGCTCAGCACCAACATGGCGGTCTTGTCGCTTCGCAATAAGTTGGGATTGCCGTGGGTTTGCCAAGTGGTGAACTGGGTCTGTGTTATCGGCTCGCTCGTTCTGCCGGCGCTTCACATGTCGGTTCTTTCTGATTACAGGTACAGAGTTACAGTTTTGTTCCTGGCCTTTTGCCCCATCTTGACGATTCTCTGTATTAGTTACGAAGGCTTGTTCTACGTGGCTTATCAGGCTTTGTTGTATACCTGGCAGGAAGTCGAAGTTGGCCTGTATTACAAACCTCTACGTCGAGGCTCGGACCAATTAGAACTGCGAAGAGACGACCCAGAAGGCGCGCTGTCTCGCGAGGAGGTCGTCGTACTACCCACGAGCAAAGAAAGCCTGCTGCGTCTGCGGGACTTGAGAGTTGCATTGCTGTTCCTCTACTTCTTCCAAATCGGCTTTTTCGGCACGGGCAATGTCGCCTCCATCTCCGCCTTCAGCTTAGACAGTGTCTACCGACTAATTCCTGTCTTCTACCCATTCGCCATGACCGCGCTACTATTCTTCAAGCTCGTCATTCCCTTCATCGTCACTTCGGTATACCTCGGCGTCATCAACCTTAGAACCAAGCTACCTAAACTCGCCCTCTTCTCCATGGTCTTGGTCATGAGTGATGTCCTCACACTTAACTTCTTTTACTTGATCGTCACTGAAGGCAGCTGGCTTGAAATCGGCATGTCCATCAGCCACTTCTTCATCGCCTCGCTTCTTTGCGCCATAATGGTGATAGTCGAATACGGCAGCATGTTGCTGCTCTGGGGAGCCACGCTACCCTACCAGAAAACCAGCTAACCAGCTCACAGCTTTTTTGACGGGTTTCATTTAGCATAGCAGCTTTCAGCAGCTTCCACGCCCGCGTTCGATACCACCTTGGTGCGTACAGAAGAGGGTTTTTGGTTTTTTAATAGGGTTTTTTGTGTCGCCAAAATCAATATACGAAACTGTCTGTCTGAAATCCGTTAGATGAAGGGGTTGACATTCGCCGCCTGGAGGGCTTTGTAGCAGAGGTTCGAGCAAGCGCCGATGAGCCGCGCGACGGACGTGGAGTTGGCCCCCTTTTCGATCATGTCGAGCACGTGCATGCGGGGAGTGTGTACGGAGACGAACGCGGCAATCTCGGACTCCGCAATCTCTGACTCGGCAGAGTCGGTTGCGGTAGAGTCGGACGAGGGGGAGGCTTCACAGCTGACGGAGTCCAAGCCGCAAAAGCAGTCGTCAAGTTTGCGGACATTTGTGGCGTCGTGGAGCCGTACGGTCCCGGAGCAGCGAGAGTCTTGATGTAGCCGAAAGACCTCTGTGTAAATCTCCGCGGCAGCGTCTCGGACCAGCTCCTCGAAGGAGACTTCCTTGCCGCGGGTTCGGTAGAACGCGTCTCTCTCCGCGACACTGATGGGGGTATACAAACTGACGACCCCGGGACGGAGCGCAGCGACGAACTTGAGGTAATCCACTCTCTCCGACGGAGTCATGAGCCGGTCGCAGTAGAGCTGGCACCCTACAAAGGTCGGGCGCAGTTTTAGGCTCTCCCAAAGAGAAACCATCTCCGGCTTATTCTCGAACCAGTGACAGCCTACGCGCCGAGCCGCGCCATCAACATAGGCACACAGCAATCCTCCAGTGTACTTGCACCCGCCCTGCAGCGCCTGATCCTTAAAGGTGAAGGTGCCGGCCATGTCAGCCGCATGGGTGCAGAAGTTAGTGTTTTTGCCGTAGCCATGTGGCTCCAGATAGTCCCCAATCAGCTTGGCCGATAAAACAAGGAGACCCGCATAGAAGCAACCCGTGGCATACTCATGCAGCAGCCTCTGTTGCCTCTCCTGCCGCTCTCTCTCGGCCCGGTCACTCTCAAGCCATCCACGCACCGGCGTCCGGCGCCACTGAAACAACCCCAGCAGCCTCCTTGCCCACCCTTCTGGCGCAGCCAGCTGAGCATCCCTGTTCCCCACCTCCTCCACAGGGCCACGTAACTCGGCCTGCAAGTCCTCAGCCGCCTGCTCCCATTCCAACTCGTCTTCCGCGCTCCACGGCTGCTCGCTCGACGATGGCATCTCGCCCCACTCGGACGGGGCGTCCAGCTCCTGCTCGTCGGCGCCCGCCACCATCGCGAACAGTACCCGCACCGTATCCTGCTTTACAAGTCGCGCACTTACCAAAGTTCTCATCGTTCCGTTCACTCGCTTTTTTTTCGCCGCCGTCGCCGAGAATTTTGGAGAACGGATCGCTGGGGAGGCGCCTCGGCTACGAGCGTTGTACGGAGCAGAAACGACAGAACCGATAACAACCCACGCGCCGAGCCGTGTCCTCAGCATAGGCACACAGCAACCCCCCAGAGTCGTGGCACCCCTCCTGCAGCAACACCCTCGCCCACCCTTCTAACGCCACCTTCCAACGCCACCAGCCGAGCGTCCACACCTCGCCACTGGGCCACGCAACACGGCCTGCAAATCCTCAGGCACCTCCTCCATTTCCAACTCCCCTCCACGCTCCATGGCTGCTCGCTCGACAATGGCATCTCGCCCAATTGGAGGAGGGTGGCTCGAGGAGGAAGGCGGGCCGCACGGGTCAACCACCCCAGGCAGGCCTCGCGTGGGTGTGGGCTGGGTGGGCTCCATGGGTGCTGAGCCATCCAGTGACGGTTCAGTGACGCGCGCGTAATCTGAGCAGCCTTAGTTATGTTGGCGTGAATGTTTGAGTTGAATAGTTCCTTGCGGAGTTGAATAGTTCCTTGCGGAGTTGAGAGCGGTATCCTCTTCTTCTGGTTCGGTGGTGGTTCTAATCAGCGGTAAAAAAACAGGACGTAACGAGCTCAGAAGTTATTTGTCCATGCTGCTTACCGTTGACAAGATGCGCTCTAAGAGCGCAAGGAGTGGCGACCTGCAGAAGTTCATATTCCCCGCGTTTTCGGGCCCGGCCGATGATGAGGCTGGGTGGAGGCGCTGCCGCTAAACGCAGTGTGTCACCATAGACACCTGAGGGAAGGTGGAGGAATGTGCTTTGCCAAAAGTCACACTCCAACCGGTAATTGTTGGTGACCATATCACACATAACGCTGAACTGCTCGCGCCGTCTGTTACGGCCAAACGCAGATTTAAAGAACCAATCGATGCCTTGCCGATAGTGCTGTGGGGGGCAAAACAGCCTCGGCCACCTCTTCGCGGGTCACTTCACAACCACCATTGCACGCAAGGGGAACGAACCGATGCAGCCTATTGGGCAGCGCGACGCGCAGCTGTCCGACCCCTTCCGACGACGGAGAGAGCACGGACTTTACACAAGGGTCCAACTGCCCCGGTAGAGGATCTTAGCCGCTTTGGACCGGTGTCGCTCAGCCCAAAATACCGAGGAGGCGTGGCTGTAGCGGCCACCAGAAAAAGGAGGCGTGGCTGTAGCGGCCACCAGAAAAAGGCTTGCCCGAGCCAAAGACGATGATGCTGGAGTCGTAGTCGGAAGGGCTTTTGGGATGTCATGTGCGACAGGACCCACTTGACGGATCAGGATGCTGCGATGAAGGCAATCGTGGAGTTGGGTCGATACCTTCAGACCGTGCGAGGTTGTGGAACTTGCTAGTGCATATACGTGGCAGTCGTCGAAGGCGGCGCAGGCCCAGCCAGTATGCGGTATGAAACACGCTGAAGGGGCGGCCTTACAACGCGCGTGTGAGACACCTGGAGCCAGAGCTGCGTGAGGTGCTGGGGCACCGGTAAAGAAGTAGCTGGACTTGGGGGTGATCCGGCCCTCTAAGAGCGAATGGGCAGCAGCAACTTACCTCGTCAAGAAAAAAACGAAGATGGGACAGTGACGGTGTGTGCTGGACAGGCTGAAGCCCCGAAGAAGTTCACCGCTGCAGAACGCAAGTGGGACGTCAGGGAGAGGGAGCTGTTCGACGTTAAACAGGCAGACAAGCAAGCAGACCACATTGCCCTGAACAATGGAAACTGATTTTTGTTTAACGTTCGGGCTGCCACTGTGCGGCCTGCGACGGCGCGTCCACGACGCTCAGAGAGGCAGTGGTCGGTCTGCGGCCTTCAGCCACCGCAAGGAACACCGGTCTGCGGTCTTCAGCCACCGTATGGAACAGCACTACGAACGAGGCAACTTCCGGCCCATGGTCGCACAGCTAGCTGCGACGACTGCCTGCAGCTCGTCATCCTTTTGTGTTCTTGCTGCACTGCACGGCGCATGGCACGGTCGCCTCGTATGCCCCTCGAGATAACGGGACAGGCCGCCCCAGCGAGGTAGGCACTGGTGAATGTATCCGCCATCCACCGAGAATGTAGCAACGGTTTAGCATATAGGTGAACAATACTACACAGTGTCACCAGTCTGTTCTCTGTCGGGAATGGTTTCGTGGCGTCTGTCTGGTAGCTTCTCAGGATCACATATCGTGTCAGCAATCAAGAGGAGCGTGCGGCTTGCCTGGACAAAAGGTGAGACGGCGAAGTCCGAAACGCGGTAGCCGATATCAGTCTTGACGAAAGGATGGGTGTACTTGAAATCTGGTGGTTGCAGGGCAAACTCCAGGGTTAAGGGATCTTCTTGCCCCGTCGGAATATATCCTTGCACCAGGTTTCGGAGGCATTCCCCATCCAGCAATTGCTTTGCTCTGTTGTCTACGATTATGCGGAAGCCCGGGGTTGCCTTGAGCTCCTCAGTCTGTTGGTTGCCGATTATTTTGATGAGGACAGTGCCCGGCCTAGGTCGCTGCTCACTCGCCGGCGCCCCTTCCTCCACTTTCTGGTCCTTAATTCGACCTTCTTCCTTTTTCTCACTACCATTCGGACTTTCCTTTTCCTGGGTGTCGTTAACAGCCTGGGTCTCGTTTTGGGCGGTAATGCGGCCGTCGCCACTGGCGTACAGAGTCCGTATGACTTTTCTAAAGACCGGGAATGTTCTCGGCATTCGGTAAAGCGGGTGGAACTTCAAGCAATGGTTCCTCTGGGTCACAACGTACACATCCAGGAGTCCTGCGTGAGCCAATGGAGAGTCATATACGGCCAGTAACGTCTGATGGAGCAGATTCATTCCTTCTGCACCAGAGTCATCATCCTCAGCACAATGCACATTCCTCTTCAACACAACATCCCTAAACAAAAATAACTCACCAGTGGCTATCCTACAAGCCGTGGTTCGAGTCCTACGCGTTTGACAAGATGACGTTGAATCGCATCTCGAACCGATTTTCCGGGCCAAAAAGGATAGCGTTCGGGGCACAGGTTTCACGTCGCAATTATTCTTCGTCCAGCTATAAACATGATCAGGTGGTTGGAGCCGTCATCAGGAGCTGTCATATGTGGTAGCTGTCACGTGGGAGAAGCCTTCAGTCTTTTACGGTCCGCTTTGTCAGACGGTCACAGATGATCTGCCTTCATCGAATATTTTGGAGACACTCCCGAGTCAAAGGCAGATAACCGTTATTCCTAACCAGAGGGGGAGGGGGGTTACTAGAAAGGGATTCCGTCAGTGGCAGGGGGAAACATGATCTTCTGAATAAATAGTGTTCAATGTCGTTTGTGTAACAAAAAAGGGGCGGACGGCCGATCCGTCACCG